GAAAGGTTAGTTTGCTTTACATCTTATTTAACCATGGATATTTTCACTTTCCACATGCATGTCACACTCCTTCATCTGCCCTTAGGAGGACAGGGAGGAAAGCTCATGCTTTCCTCAGACCATCTGTGGAGCAGACAGTTTTGACTAGTCATGTGCTTGTTGCCTTTCAATATCTGCTGGCTCTCACTTTGACCTTGTACAAAAAGACAAATGCATCAGGAGCTGTGTGTTTCCTTCAGTCTCTTATAAACTTCTACTTCAATACCACAACCTCCTATCAGATTCTGTTCCTCTATCCATCTCCATAGGCTACCTCATCATGCAATCTTAAACGTCCAGCACTACACTGAGCACTTAAGGGGAAGGGATCTTGCTGAGAAATTCAGCCAGAGTAGTGCCTTCTGACCCATGAACATTTCTGCACTAGAATCTAAAGATGCCTTCCTGCCCTCTGCTGTTGTTGATCAACCTGGTGCCTTTTCCTCTGCTTCTTACACTGCTGGGGAGCAGATCCATAAAGGTCAGAGCCCCAGGCCTGAATTAGCTCCACAGCATCACGTGAATTACACCTCAGTAATGTGTTTGCTATGCAGCTCCTTTGACACCCTGCCACTTTGCACTTGAACTGAAGCTCAGCCTTGCTCAGGAGGAGAAACCGGAGGGGATGAAGCACAGCAGAACCAGCTCCTGGACATTCCCAGAGCATCTTGCAAAGACACTCCCAAAAGGCTATTGACAACACTAACTGCAAAGTGTGAGGTTATCTGGCCCAAGCCATCTCTACTGAAAAACAACATGATGCAAAGAGTGTCCAAGGCAGGCACTGGCCTGTGCAGAGACCACTTCAGGACAGTTTCCCCCTGAGGGTGGTAAAATGATCCTTCTTCCCTCCTGTCCCTGGAGCTGCTGCACTGTTCCAGTCACCTACTGCAACTCATCCAAGCTCAGTCAACTTCCACTCCCCAGGCTCTCTGGAAAGGTTAGTGGTGCCTGCAGTTAATTTAAAAGAAGTCCATTATGCTATAATGAATCCCAAAAAGAGAACAGCAGCTCTCTCTGTACACCAGCTCAATTCTGCATTTCTGGTCCATGCATTAAAACTTCCTCTCCTCTCACAAACTGATGACTAACCTATGTCTCAAAGCCTGAGGGAGCACATCTAATCTGTTAGTGTTACTGTTGTTTGTTCATATTAAGCACTTCTTCCTAAGCTATTTGTGCTGAGTGTCATGAAAGAGTGCTGCAGGTTAATCATACATATGTAAATCCAACTTCCTTTCATGCATTTTAAATGTGTTGCCTTTTGGAAAACAAAAGGGCAAGCGGGAGTGATGCAACGGGGACTTGTGCAAAACCAGGGAATGCTTCTTAGATGCTCACTTCTCACACACTCCTATTTGGGGATTAGAAGCACAGTAAGAGAGAATCTGCCAGCTTGTTTGCTAGACTAAGAGGTCTGCTGAACAAAAACACCCCAAAAACCACAAACCAAACCAACCCAAACAACTGTAACCCAAACTGCATGATTTCAAGAGAGCTGAAGTTGGCCGGCTCAAGCTTAAATGAGATCAGCTCAAGTCGACTACCGGTCCCCCTCTGGTGGCCAACCAGCCGCAGTCACCGTCTGACGGCAGAACAGGGCTGCCGCACGGCTACCTGTCCCTGCACCGAAGGAAGCATCTCGAGCATCCCGTAGCCAGGGCAGCACGGCTCTGGTCAGAGGGCTGTCGGGAAGCAGGGCTTCAGAGCACAGAGCTGAATCAGGGAGTGGGACACACCTGGGCACCAGGGGGCATGTCAGGGAAGTCTTCGAAAACCGAGAGAATTCATTACAGTAATAGCCAGCAGCTGCCCAGTCTTTCCACCTTGACAGCCTTAGGGCTATCTACAGCTAAGCCCTTAATTTTTAATAGCAGTGCTGTGTAGCACCAGGACACCTCATCTTGAAACAGGGTCCTGTTGTGCATGGAGCTATGCAACATCTGGACACATAGAGTCCATAGGCTCTTTGAGATGGGGAATAAGATGGAGAGAAAGAAGACAGACAGGAAGTGAGAGAGAAGAAGGAAACAAGACAGCATTGATTAGCATAGAAAATAGCAGTCAGTGAGATGCTCTCAATGGCTGAGCACAAAGGCAACCATTAAATGTCTTACTAGAAGATACCAAGGCTACATTTTTGTCCTATGTTTAGTTTCTACAATGACAGCAATTGCTACCAGTGTTTTGCATGTTGTTGCCAATAAAAAAGGGCCTAGGAGAGAGAAGGCTGAATACCCCTGCTGACTGCTCTAATGACAGACAAGAAGAGGCTGCCAGTTTCCCTAAGTGGGGGTCTGAGTCTGTTCCAAACCAGCAAATCTGAGCTAGCCTCTATATAGCAAACCACTTCTTCAGACAAATCTGAAACCCTCAGAGCTTGTTTCATCATCCTCCAAGAGGACTCCTTGCATTTCTTCACCCACTGTTGTAAAAGCAGCACTATCTCATCTCAAAGCAACCTCGTGCTTCAGCTACTGGAGCACAAGAAAGCCCCAAACGGCTATTCCTTCTGGAGGAGATTTCTAAAATTACTCAGAAAATTGCATGAGTTTACACACCTTCAGTATGATGTTAGCATAAATCCCTAAATTAAGGGACAGGTACAGGACAACATATTCACAGCTTATCAGAGAATTGCCTCAAGAGGGAGAGAAGAATTTGGTTTTGGCCACTGCAGAGTCACTACTCCCAAAACCACCTAAACTCACTCCAGCCTTCATGTACCTCAGAGAAAACTCTGAAGCAGCCATAGGCCGATTCCAGTTTCTCCATTCCTCACATGGTGCAAGAGCTCCACTTTGTCTGTATTCATTGCAGCTTTATACCAAGACAGAGAGGCTGGCTCTTGGCCTCACTCCCCACTTCCAACCCTGTGCACAACTGCCCATGCCTCAACATACTTTGTGGCACACCATCCCTGCAGAAGGGTAGCTGGAAAAGACTGATCAGGAATTTTGGATGAACTTCAGCTACAGCTGGGGTTTTTTACTGCAAAAGAAGATAACAAATTATGTCTAAAAATGAACACATTCATGCAGTAACACCTCTCCTCCTACAATCAAGTTTCATGCTCTGGAAAGCAGAGATTAGGGTTTCTCATGCATTCAGTGAAAAAAACCAAGGGTTTAAGAGGAAGATTCTAAAATCTCAGATTCTACACAGTACACCTGATGCCAAGACAGGCTAAGGTTCTGGTCAGCTTTGCTGTTTCCAGTAAGACCTTTCATAGGTCCTGTATGTTCAGACTCTTTCTGTAATCATGTGCCAGGTCAGTCAGGCACAAGACAGTAGCAGAACAGCCAAAACCATAGAAAACATAGTAATTCACTATGGGAACCAGGAGTTACAGCCTGGTTCAACTGACCAACTCAGCCATAACACTATGAAAGCAAGAAGAGATCTTATCTAAACCAAGCATCATTTTCCCATTTAGGTATATGAAGAAATTAATTCTCTGTAGTTCTACAATTGAGGCAAAGTAAGCTAAGTGGAGGAACTGAATGCACAAAAATCCAGTTTCCCGAGCAGCGTATCTTAATACATATGAGGTCAAGCAGCTGTGTATGGAATCAAGGATCCCAAGATATCAGGCAACTCTTTGCTATTGTTGGAGACACAAGCTGGGGCATGTAGGATTCCAGCATAAAGAGCATGGGCATGATTTCTCTCACAACCCCAAGTCCATGCCAGGTGCCAGGAAAAATGGAGGCTGTGGAGTCAGCAACAGGTCACTGTCACCACTCCCTCTCCAAGACATCACAAGAAACTGGTGATCAGGATGGACAGTGTGGGCAGCCACATGATATCATGCATCCTGCAAAGAGAGGCAGAAACTTTAGAACTTACTTCATGCTAAAGTAATCCAGCAAGTTGAGCTCTCTCCTTTCACACCCAAACAGATGAAAGTTTCTGAAAGCTCCAGCCTCAACTTGGCCCCCCTCCCATGAGTTGTACTGGTCATGGCATGTAAAGACATGTCCACATGGCTTGCTTGTGTATCATTTTGTTCATATCAGGTCTGCTGGCAAAGTTATCTACCTTTTAGTGCCCTGACCCCAATTCCAACAGCTCTAGATTCACAACCTCTGATTTCCAGGGGACATTGGAACTTCGGTTTCTGTATTCTTCGTAAGGCTCACCACTGCTTTATCTAACCTCCCTCATCTCTGAGTCCAGCATAAGACAATTTTGTTGCCACAGGAGCTTCTAAATAATACCATAACCCAACACACTGCTAGAAGCAATCCCCAAGACAAACACGCACTACTCACTCTCTTCTTTAGCTAGTGCTCATGGCCTGAAAGCCAGAGCCAACACTAGATGCTGGTTTCATATGTGAGAACATCTGCCTAGATATATGGTGGAGAACACACAGCCACCCAATGTTCGGCTGGCTGACAGTGTTTCATCATTTTACAGGCAGAAATGCTAATGGACATAATGCAACATAGAATCATGTTGCAGAATCTTCTCAAGTTTTAAAGTTAAGCTTTTAATCCTTAAGGTGCAAAGGACTCAAACACCCCTCTCCTCCTGGCTTCATCTAATCCTCCTGACAGTACAACGAAGCACAGGCAGTACAATTAAGTACCTGCAGCTCAAAGAGTCAGGTAATGCACAGTAAGATGAAAAAGTAATTGCACTAACAGCATTATTAATTTATATTAAAGAGTTTTTAAAATACTTTCTGGCATTACTAGCTGCTTCAGACCATTTTCCAGCCTATTTCAGGCAGCAGTGAGGCTTCACTGCAAGCCCCAGCCCAGACTCCTGCCTCTTCCCAAAGGGTCCTGGCTTCAGTCACTCATCCTGATAGGCTGCAGGTGGAGAACCATCCTCTCCCCCCACAGCAGACCTCTGTCAGACACCTGAAGACCTGGAGAGGCCCCTTGCCCACAGATAGCACCAGTTTGATTCCCTCCATAAATCCCAGAAAGAATGCTGATCTGAGAAGGCAGCATTTTTAAAATATTTTATTTATTATACAAACTATTTACAAAATCAACTACTACAATCACAGGCTTCCAAATTTTGGCTGAACTCTGCCAGAAATTCACCAGAGGGAACTAGTATTTGACCTGTATCATCTACAGCTCCTGGTTTCTAAAAACATGCAACATGACCTGCAGGTACAGGCTGAAGCTAGGCCCTCTGCACCTCAAAGCAGCTTCAGGAAACATGGAATCTTGTCTAAGATGGTATCATGATCCTAAGGATTTCCACAGAAGAGCCTCTATTAAGTGGGAATAAATAAAGGGCAAAACCGAAAAGTAACGAGCCTCTGCCAGAAGTAACATAGCGTGGGGGTGACCACAGCACATCCCCATTGCCAGCATTAGGGGCAGCATCAAAAATGACTGTACTGGGAAATGTTGTAAAGCCAGAGACAAGTTTAGAAATATTGTGATGGATCTCAGCAACATGGGACCAGCTAGGGGCCTGTGTAAGCAGTGGGGATGGGTTTAGTTGACCAAGAGCACCCATCACAGTTCTGACCCCACTTGTGTTAAGAAGAAAATCCTTGGCATCTTCACAGCTGCTGGGAAGCGTGGAGTGCTAGCTGTAATGAATGAGAAGCATTTTCTTTCCAGTAAAGGAAGTCTGCCCAATGGCCAGTTACTTCATCTCCAGAATAAAAAAATGACAGCTCAAGAGAAGAAGGGAGAAGATTCCTGAGGAAGATGTCACTGTCAGAGCTGACCCATAGCTTTAGGGCTGAAAACATCCTCAGACAGCTGAGACTGCAAGACAAGGCTGAAACATAGAAACAACATCAAGCTATGCCTCCCAACAAACTGGAGTTAAGCTGAGCACTGCCACTTCCTCTCGGTCCCTGGA